TTCTAAACTGACAAAAATGTTGTTTGTAAACTCTCTAAATTCTATTAAAAGGTTAAAACAGTAAACTTGTATGCTCTTGTATTAATGACTTGTATTGCAGTCATTGACCTCCGTACTTGTTAATTATATGTTCATTAAATTCTGAAAAGAGAGAGATATACGTGGATAGGTGGAGATATAGAGCTAGGTAGAGGGTTACAAAAAGAGAGAAAGAAACTGGGAGAGTAGAGGAGAAGGAAACTAAACATATGATAGCTTTTATGTACCCATTAAGAGAAACATAATTACTAAGAATACAATTTGGGGAAAAACATATAATATACCATCTCTAATTAGACAAGATATTAAACTATTTTAATTTGGCTCAAACTATTTCTACTATAATTTTTTATTTTGAATATTGCTTGGGTTCATATAAAAAATTAAAGAACACAATGTGTGTATGAAATTAAGCATGTGCTTTTGTAACCGTCAGTTCTGGTTATTGGAATTGAGAGCACTGTAAAATAATATTTCACTTTCATCAAATTCATGCATTCACCCTCTGTGTTTCTGGCCATAAATAAATACTGATAATGTTTGGTCATTTTGCTTCTTGTTAGTGTTAATAACAATTAATCTTGCAGTCTCTCATAAAGTCAGGTAAACCCACTAGCAGGACATTTTCTAAGTTATGTGCTTATGTACCTAATGGCAGTTTGTGCATATTTGAAAACTCATTTTCTCATTTCCTACTACGTGTGCTTACTGATTGCTCTTCCTATACATATTTGAATGGTTGTGTCATGTTTGGACATTTTCCCATTTGGAAGATTGTTCATAAATCTTATTTTCTATAATTGCATTCAAACAAATCCCACCAACAAGAGCCATTTCAGCTCCAGTGGTTCTTCTCACTGGCATGATCCATAACATGTGTCTATTTTACAAATGAGTAACTTGTGTTGTATATATAAAACATTGGCACTGTGTCCTTTGGCTGTCATTCATGAAATTATAAACCAAGAACTTAAACATTTGTTATTTTCCAAGTCTGTATCTTCCTCTCATCTTAAAACTCCATCTATCATAACATTTACTAGCTCAGAAGACCTGCCTGTCTTTTCAAAACTGATTATGCAGTTTAGTGGAAGCTCTTACTGAAATGCCATAAAGTAAAGCTTAGATCAGATGGTTCACCGTACCAAAACAAATGATATTTTGAAGCAAGCGAAATTCAAATTTGATCACTTTCTCTGATCATTCTGGAAACCATTCTGTAATAAAATATTTATTACCATCCATCCATGTGCAGAAGCATTTTTTCCAAATGCAGCACAGGATCAGATATTTTCCAACAACATTTAGTCAGAAATAAATAAATAAAACTTTCCTGGAAAGGACAATGAAAATTTTTACATAGACAAATTTAAAAATGTTTAATTTTCATAAAAATATGTGAAGCTTCACACAAAACTTTGTGTTTTTAAATTATAGTTATCAATATAAGCTGTGATACCTCTAGTTTCACAATTTTATATAAATCTGTATGTCTCCCTACATGTTTGTATGAACAATTCCTATACAATCTATCACAATTCTCCATTCCTTAAATTTAAAAATAAGTGCATTTCACAGAAAAAATAAATGAAGGACACATACATTTATAATAAGAAATACATAGTAAAAGTATTTTAATTTTAGCACTGAAAATAAACAATAAATCGAAAACATTTAAGTATCCATTTAATAACAACACCTCTGTGTTATATGTTTCTTCTCTTTTAAAGGACTTACAGCATTATCTATGATGTATTAAGTATGTTTTCACATTATATGGGTGCTGAAAGTTGATAATTCTAATGTTATAATATTAAAATGCAACTAGAACTGGACTTTCAAATATGCTGGGCCATATAACTAGATAGACATTGAAGTGAAGCTATAATGAATCATGGCATGCTATAAATGTAACTCACATAGATTGTGAGCATTTAGTAAGAGGTAACATGTTTATAACTTCTCCCCTACGTTTTAATTTATAAAATTTTAAACTGATATTTAAATACATAAATTAGTGCATATCAATTGACTACCATGGTGTATTTGTCTAATATTTAAACCAGGTTACACATAGTCATCTTCTTATACACAGATCTTTATGGTAATTCTTTGAAATTTATTTCCACCAGCTTCTTCAGTTGTACAGCTCCATTATTGATAATCATCCTCCTGTGCAGCATCATTTTAGAATTCTTTCTCCTACCCAGCTGTAATTCATTACCCATTCATAAATTTTGCTTCTCTCTACCATCCGCCCCTATCCTTTAGTAACAACTAGCCTTTTTTTTTCCAATCTATCTGTCATCAACTTCCTTTAGATCCCAAATATGTATAAGATCATGTGATTTTCTGACTCTTTGACTAGGTCATTTCATTTAACATTCTGAGAACCCTATATAAATTCAGATGTTTCTTCAAAAAATGAAGACGACAAGATATAATCCGTATGAACTTTCAATGTTACTACTGGTCATAAACTAAAAGCAAATTTAATCATTCCTTTATGAATAGTTATCTTTATGCCCATGTTCATTGAAATGCCACTCAATACAGCTCAGAAATGTAAAAATACATTTTTAGTGAGTAATAAATAAAAAGTGGTGTTTGTTTACACTGAAATAATGTTCAGTCATAATGACAATGGGATACTGTCATTTGTAGCATAGATACGGCACTAGAGCTGATTGTGCTAGTAAAAAAATATGATTATGTTAACTTATCAATTCCTCCAATACATAAGTGCAAATGAAATAGTTTGCTAAACTTAATTTAGTATTTCTTCATGTATTATGTGACAGCTAATTGAAGGACACATAATCTATGGATTTTCAAGTTCTGTATCAGTATTATCTTTAATTTTAAAGTCAGTTTAGATGCTACTTCATAAAAGCAGACTGTCCTCTTAGATGACTCAAGCAGAACCATTTGCATTTTTGGACAAAGAAATACTAGAACATAACCATCAAAAACAATGGACAAAACACAGATTTATTACAAAAATACTTTATTAGAGAGACATCCTATTTATCCAGAGGGGAAACTAATTAACATCAGTTTCAGTTAGGCTACCTTTGCTATGCAAAAATTAAGACAGAAACTAATCTGTTTGAAACATTTAGCTGTTATTTCTCTGATTCTGTTTTCTAAACCTAGGTAAACAGCTTAACTGAAAAACAGTGAAACGAACAATTATCATCATTCATTTAATCCTTAACAATATTTATGGATATATTGATTTATCTAGTTATTATATATGCATGTGTGTGTGCACATGCACGCTTACCTATATGTATGTGCACAACATGTGTGAAGTATCCTACACATGTCAGAAGAGGACATCAGATTCCCAGAAACCAAGGTTAAAACAGTTGTGAGCTGCCATGCAAACCCTTTTCTGTAAAATAACAGTGAGTGCTCTTAATCTCTGAGCTATCTGTTGACCACCTCTGATCTAATTTTAACTTTATGATGGTCCACTGATACCTAGAAACAGTAAATGATTCTAATGAAAAGCTATTTTGAAATAGTTATTTGCCATTTTTATTTGATATATTAAAGCGTTAAAGTAATATCTGTGTGACTTCTTCCATTGGGCCAATACAGAAGCAGTGACTTCCAAATAAACCATACCTCATGTGACGAAAGTACAAATCGGCTCTACTACCTAACCACCGTTCATTCATATCTTGTTGAGGAACCTGAGAATTCCTATTTTGCTGTATTCTAACACAGGTTGAATGCTGTAGTAAAGGAAAGAAAGGAGAGGAATTGAAAGGAAAGAAGTGCAAAGGAAAGGAAAAGAAAAGAAAAGATTAAACCCAATTCTTTTTTTCTCTATTTATCCATTTAAGTGTACATGGATATGTTTGCTAGTTTTACTTACTTTGTGGATATAATGTAAAAACAATACTGTTCTGGGATATTGCTGCAATGTATCATTTTGTGTGTGACTTGGTAGAACCATCTAATGCAAATACAATATAATGAACACCTTATAAATGAATGTATTATAAACAAACATAATTAATTAAAGTGAACTTGACAGTTAGGGAAGAATATGAAAACAAAAACAATTTGAAGCTATGTCAAAACATCAATTTTGCCACATTTAAGAAGCCAAACTCTTAGTAAAAAGGGAATTCAATATGATAATAAACTTAATTAACAGTGCTTAATGTCTTCCGGTGTTTCTCGGTTTACAACTATCTTATGTGGAAAGGTAATAGAATGAGGGCTAAACACTGAAGAAGCCAAGCATTGCTTTTAGTCTCACAGAGCCTGTCATACAATGAGGTTCGATGATTATCATGAAAATAGTAAAACCAGGAGGTTGCAATTATGATCTGGAAATTAGCCAAAATGGTTCTAATATTACTCATAAAGTTTTAACTCTTGCTTGTGGTATTGTATTCCCCCAAATATTGTGCATGCTAATAAACTAATCTGGAGTCAGAGACAGAAGAGCCACAATATTAAACATAAAGGATAGGCAGTGGTAGCACACGACTTTAATCCTAGCATTCCAGAGGCAGAAATCCATGTGTTCAAGGATACAGCCACGCATGCTGACTCACGCCTTTAATCTCAGAAAGCGAGCCTTTAATCCCAGGGAGTGGTGGTAGAAAGCAGAAAGATATATAAGGCGTGAGGGTCAGAAACTAGAAGCATTTGGCTGGTTAAGCATTCAGGCTTTTGAGCAGCAATTTAGCTGAGACCCATTCTGGATGAGGACTCGGAGGCTTCTAGTCTGAGGAAACAAGACCAGCTGAGGATCTGGCAAGGTGAAGTAGCTGTGGCTTGTTCTGGTTCTCTGATCTTCCAGTTCACCCCAATACCTGCCTGGGTTTGATTTTGCTAATAAGACCTTCTAAGATTCCCTCTACACTTGCTCAAACATTCTTGGCTTCTGTTTTAATGAAGACTTGAATTTATAATTTATAATTGAGGAAATGATTGTGAATAAAACACTTGATCTGCAAGCATAAGACCAGAATTAAAATTTCAGAGCCCAGGTAAACACCACATAAGGTTAGTGGGATTCCTGTGGTTATAGGAATGTTCTGTGATTACAGAACACATGAGGCATAAACCAGGAATCCCATAGCCAGCCAGTTAGTCAGACAAGCTGAAATGACTAGTCTTCAGTTCAGCAGGAGATTCTGCCTTAACATATAAAACAAAAAAATGGTAGACAAAGACAATGTCAACAATGGGTTCCAATAGGCATGATCACCTAGTCAACACCTGCACCCACACACTTTCAAAGACACACATGCTCATGAACACCACACACATAAAAGCAAAATAATGATCTGAATTTAGAAAATTACCTATAGAAAATCTCTGTAAGCCTCACTTGGAGAGGAAATCAAAAACTGTAATGGTACCATGGACTTGATATTGTGCAGTAGCAAATACATCCTGCTCTCAAATGAAAATGAAATAAACAAATAAAAACACATCAAGCATAATAAAATACAAATTAATGTCTGAGAACCATGAATGCAAGGGTTGGAATTAACCCTTTTGACATTTGATTTCAACACTTTTGAACATTATTTCAATAACTTAAATGCTCTCGTGAAACCTTTTTTTTTTCTTCTGAAAATATATCTTTATTTCAAAGAGAATTAACATCCCTAGACCTTGGAGCCAATTTAATTATATGTCTTCAGATTATGAAAGACAATGTATTTAACCCACTGTCCTACTGTGTACTCAGTGTGTTTAAGTTTAACCTGCCTTTAAGAAAGCAATATAATCAACCTTTACTATGCCTTAGATTTCCTATGTAATCAGAATTTACCCCCTAAGCTAAATGCATAGTTTTAAACATAACCTTGTGCTCTTCAATGCTCCTGACCTAAAATAATGCATATGTATTTGTATATTTTTTGGTAATCATTTACTGAAAGCCACAAGCAGGTTGAAAGCAAACATAAACAAAGAAAAGATTCCATAAATGTTTGAAGCGAAATGTTGATATATGTTGATAACATGTCTTTGAAGTTTTGAGGGTTACTCTGGGTCAGTTGAGGTCAGTAAATGACTTCTGCCTTTGTAAACCTCTATTAAACATATCTGTAATAAAAAGACACATTAGTCCTTTCTCATACTTTTTTTCAGTGCTATTCAACAGATGCACACCAAACCTTTTGTTTAGATGCATAAACACAGAGTAGACACAGGCACATCACACATAGGCACAGACTCATATAGCCGATACATAGATAGGCCAATAGCCAGAGACAACAGGCATAGGGAAGACAAGGAGGAAAGTTGAAAAATTCAAGTTTTGCCTAGTACATGCTCAAAATAGTCCAATAAGTTTCTATTTTTACTGTTCTATACAAACTTGATACAGTATATAAAGAAACAGATGAATATTTCTACTGACTACCTGCAGTTTAAGGATAGGAAATCAATAGATATTTTAAAAATGAAGATAGTAAGTAATAACTGATAAAATAAGTGGTTTATTTTATTGATAAATATGAATATAGGGTTACTGAACTAGAAAAATATCAAAACTACTAATAATATGTGGTACAGAACATATGGTACAAAATAATATATGGTACAGAAAGACGAGAAGAGGTTGAGGAATTCTAAGTATCTTTAAGTAAAGAATAAAGATATAATTGAAATTTTTAGTATTTAAACTATTATTTTCCACGTGGGAAAAATACAAACATTCTCAAAAGTATGATTAAATTAAGTTAGGTTTCCTATACAAGGTGTATTATAAACATAGAATAAGGATATGGCAAATTTAATAAAAAAATGTCATAACTCACAGTATAGGAAATTGAGTCTAAAGTTGAGATGTCTTCACTAATTTATTCACAAGCTGAAATGAACAGGAAAGCTGAGAATGCTGGAATGTTGATAGAGTTATTCCTGTCTTCATTTCATAACACAGAGAAATTGCAAACAACCTAGATGGCCATCAACTGAAGAACTGATAAACAAAATATGGTACACAATGGAGAATTACTCAGCTATTAAAAAAAAATGACATCATGGAATTTGAAGGCAAATGAATGGAACTAGAAAAAAAAATCAAACTAAGGTAACCCAGACAGAGATAGACAAACATGTTACATACTCACTTTTAAGTGGACATTAGCTGGTGAGTGAAGGATAATCCTGCTAAAATCCACAAACCCAGAGAGGCTAAGTAACAATGATGGCTCAAGGGGAAATGCATGGAGCTGCCTGAAACGGGATAAAAGAATAGATTTCGTGGGTGGACTGGGGGCAAGTGGTGAAGGAAGCAGGTGGATGAATGGGGATGGAAGGATTGAGCACAGAGAGAAATGACTGGAATTGGTGTGGGGGCAGCATTTTGGGGCAATGTGGTAACCTAACACAATGGAAAATCCTTGGAATCTAAGGATGACTTTAGCTGAGACTCCTAGTATTATGGGGGTTATAGAGCCTTAAGTAGCCATCTTCTGTAATTAATTAAGCAAGGTTTCCAGTGGTGGGACAGGGCATCAACCCGGCCACAGAACCTTCAACTTACAATTTTCACTGTCTGCAAAATGTTCTGGGCTAACAGTTGCTCAGAACTTGCTTGAGTAACCAACCAATGACTGGTCCAACTTGAGGCCCGTGCTACTGGAGATAGATATCCCATACATGACACTGTCTGTATGTCCAGGAATCAGAGTCTGGGTAGCCAAGAGACCTAATATAGGACCAAACACTTCTGGTAAAAAGAAAACAAAAAGTCAATTTAATGATTCCTAATGATACTCTGTTATATTTGTAGACCGGACCCTAGCACAATCATCACCAGAGAGGCTTCATAGAGCAATCGATAGGAACAGATGCAGAGATCCACAGCCAAACATTAGGCAGAGCTCAGGGAACCCCACAGCAGATGGGTAAGAAGTATTGTAGGAATCAGAGGGGTTAGGACACCAGGAGAACAAGGCCCACAGAATCAACCAAGCAGAGCTCATTGGGGCTGTTAGAGACTGAAGTGACAATCGGGGACCCTGTATGAGTCTGAGATACCTCCTCTGCATGTATGCTATGGTTGTACTGCTTGGTATTCTTGTGGGATTCCTAACAGCGGGAGTGGGTGCTGTCTCTGACATCCTTGCCTGCTTGCTGGACCCTTTTCTTCCTACTGGGTCCTCTTGTCCAGCCTTGATATAAGGGTATATGCCTAGTCTTACAGTGACTTGTTACACTATGTTTGATGATTTCCCTAGGAGGCTTGCTTTTTCTGAAGAGACATGGAGGGGTGGATCTGGGAGAGAGGGGAGGTGCACTGGAGGGGGGAACTTGGAGGAGTGGAGGGAGGGGAAACTGCTCTCAGTGTGTAATATATGAGAGATAAATAAATGATAAGTAAATAAATAAATAAATAATAAAAGCTGAAGATCTTGGGACACAAAAATCTAAGATTATTTCTCTGGACCATCTTAGAACAATTAAACATGCCATGCTATCCAATTTACAATATTTTACATTTTCCCTGAAGTCATAAATCTATTCTTTCCTGACACTGTCATAGATTCTCCTGGCTACCCTCATTTAACTCCAAAACAAATTTGAATGTACTACCCTCATATCTGAAATGTCCTCTTGGTTTCTCATTTTCACACTGATGGATTACTTATTTGACTGAAAATCTTATGAAGAGCATTAAAAATTATGGGTCAGAAGTTAGGAAATGGCCACACAGAGACTCCATCTAGCCTCTTTAAATGTCTTCCTGTAAGGAGGGAATTACATTACACAACTTGACTTTTAATAAAGTAATTGACTTTAAACTGCATCTTAAAAAGAACATTTGCAGCTGCTTAGGGGATATTCTAATCACCCACAAAGAATATTGTGAATTCAATAATAACTACTGCATTATAATAATGCATGTGCATTAAGTTTGAATAAAAAATATTTCTTTTAATTTTGAGATTATAGTACAAGCTTATATCATTTTTTCCTTCCCTTTCCTACCTCAAAAATATCTCGTATATCCATTCTTGCTTTTTTTTAATTCATGGCATCCTTTGTCACTAAGAGTTCACACACACACACACACACACACACACACACACACACAGCACAGCACACACAAATATACACACACAGAACTTTAAATTAAGGACATGAATTTTTTTCAGTTTTTCTCTCAGTATCATATTATATTTTAACAATAAGGTGGCTTCAGATACAGAGCGACATTTTCTCTGAGACATCTTTTACTGTGAATCGCTTGAGAGCTCATCAGAGGAACCATATTTGATGGGGGATTATATCACTTCTGAGACCAAAGCACCTCACTTTGAACGACTTCACTTCACCTTTTGAGTGAAAGGGTGATAAATATTATCTAAGTAGCACAAGTTTTGGAAAATTCCCTTGGATTTCAGAGATTATTATATGTACATGACATCTATCCTGTTGTATAATTAGGACATTCACAAGCACATTTATATCTGCTTTCTGGTTGTAGCAAACAGGAAATAAACATGTACAAGGAGATTACACTTGCATATTCTACAGGAAATTTCAAGTCTTTCTGTTATTCCTTCAAAAAGACATTCCTTCTCACTCATGTATATATATATATATATATATATATATATATATATATTCACATATATATTGAATATATATGTGAATATATATATATATATATATATTCAAAATGGAGGTAACAAATGATACAACAAATAATTTGGAGACATTATTAATGATAATGTCTTGTCCTTACTGTTTTATAGGCATGGCCCTTTGAGTAACCCTCATTATAGCCCTCATATATAATTTTTTTAAAAAGTCTTGAAGTTTACAGGCCAAATATATACTAAGCTAGCCAATTGTTTATTACTCAACCCAACATATATCAGTTTAAAAAATCTTACTGTTTAAAGAATAGAAAGCTTGTTAAGAAATAAGTACATATTTTATTGAAGTATGTAGGGTTTTTATTCTCAGGTACTGTATTTTAACCAGAATTTCATACATTGTTAAATTATTTTAAATTATCTTTTTATTCTCTTCCTGTAGATTCTGAATTGCACAGTTTTATGGTTTTTGTTTCATGACATAACCATTTGGGTTAAACAGATATAAGCCTTTATCCCTCAAAGAATTGCAAAATATATATTCTTAATTTATGATGAAATGTCATTTAATACAAACATTAAAAAAGGCTCCTTTCCAATGAACATAAGTGCATTAGCAAATGACTTACATATCTCACCTAATTTAGGTCTAGAATGTCTGACTTTTTTTCACATAATCTTAATATATTAGCTTCATTTTGAATATTAAATAAAAATATGTTATGACTGTCTCTTATATTAGTATCAGGATTTCATTCAATGTTTAATAAATATCAAAGCATATGCTAAATTATATATTTGTATATATATACACATACATGCATTTATATAAGCACTTAATAATTTTCTGGTTCTGCATTAGCATAAGTGTTATCAGCATGCTTAGATAAACTAGGCTCTGTGTTGCTAGAATATGAAGTATCCTATGCCAATGTTCTTTGTCTAATAGTAGATGACTCTTGGGTATGTAGCATCATGTTTCATTTTTCTTTTTTGTTTCATTGATCTAAATGTCTATTTTTATATCATCATCACACTGTTTTTATTACCACAACTCTGTAATGTAGTTTGAAATATAGAATCATCACTATTACAACACTGGCTTAGTTATTTGTTGTTTGTTTTTTGTTTTTTTGCTCAAGACTGCTTTAGCTATGTGAGGTCTTTTGAGCCCAAATTCAAATATGAATTTGAGGATGCTATTTTCTATTTCTGTGAAAGACAATATGGTGATCTGGATTGAGATTGCATTGAAGTACCTTTGTTAAATTGTTTATTTTTCCAATGCTAGTTTGTAATGTTGTATTTCTCTGGTCCCACCCAGCTCCATGATCCCACCAGGCGGCATGGTCCTGCAGCCGCTTATAAAATAATGAATCAGAGGCTTAATATTATTTACAAACTGTATGGCCTATGGTGTATAGAAAGGCATCCCACAGCACTAATTCAAGCATTCCATGGGGTTTCACCTTTGCTAGAAAAACATTATGTAGAGTTCCCACTGTCCTATTTTTAATGCACATATTTCTGCTACAGATCCATTTATTATATGTTTTTAAAATGTCCCCTTTTTAGCTAGTGTACTGGATCAGTGTCCTTTTTTCCTTCTCTGCTGTTGTATTTTCAGATATTATGCTTTCACTGTGTTTTTTACTCAACAAAAGCAGAGTTTTAAAGCAGGAAAGAGGACTTAAGTCTAGGAAGAAACACTTTGGTTTACTCTTGATAAGAAATGTATTTTTTAACTGCTTTCGGGCAATTTGGATTATTATGGCACATTTCTCAGCAGCACTAAACTGAAAATGCAGGAGCAAAGTGGAGATCATAAGCATGGCAATATTTTAGCAGCACCTGCCAGGGCTTTTAATGTTTTTGTTTGTTTGTTTCAGATGAGCCAATTACTTGTATCATTGCCTATTTTTATTAATTTACTTTTTTTGTAGAAAGCCAAAAAGGACCACTTAACTGGGTAAATAAAGTAAATATTTTAGATTTGTTATCTTTGGTAGGACCTAAAAGTCATATAATATCACTTAGAGTCCAACTTAATTGCTAGCATTAATTTTTTTTCTTGAATAGTAGAGGGTCTAGGTCTAATTTAAAACTCTCAAAGAGATACAATTACAGAAGAGTCAGAAACCAAGGGTTTTCCACTATTGACAAAAAAGAAACTCACTAATAATTCCATGCTTTATTGTAAAGCCTACTTCTTGGTTTAATTCTTTTTCTTTCAATATTTTCCACCAATATTTTGCTATTCGCTAATGTGATTGTGAGACTTTCTGCATTACAGCTTCCACTTAATGGAAAACTAAGAAATTTAAAATCCAATTTCATTGTAGTCATGAAGCAGAACTCTTCTAAATTATCCAGGAGTCACTGGGAAGTAGCAGTGAATAAGAAGTCTATTATAAGTTAAAGGATTAAATATCATTTGCCCACATAATCTTGCACCTTGCCATAGTGAAAGAAGTGAGTGATGGATAAACACTGTATTTATCATCTTTCCATGCTTTTCTATAAGGCTCATCTTTAAAACTATATCACTATGTAAGTACTGTGGTAAACACACACACACACACACACACACACACACACACACACACACAAACATATATACATACTAAAGTTTGTGTGTAGTTGGAAGCTTTCCTGTGTCCTGCCCGGTCCTGCAGCTGCTTAGATCCAAGTAAACACACAGAGGCTTATATTAATTTCAATGCTTAGCCATTAGTTCAGGCTTATTACTGACTAGCTCTTACACTTAAATTAACCCATAATTCTTATCTATGTTTAGTCATGTTGCTTAGTACCTTTTCTCAGTTCAACCTTGTCTTCCTTTGTGTCTGACTTGTAACAGATGACTCTGCTTTCTTGTTGCCAGAATTTTCCTCATCTGTTTATCCTGCCTATACTTCCTGCCTGGCTACTGGCCAAGCAGCATTTTAGTTATCAACAAATCAGAGCAACACACATCCACAGCATACAGAACAAAATTCCACAGCACATTTGTGTATGTTCCACTATTGGTAACAAATTGTATTATGAATATTCTTGAACCTTTTGAAAATAGATTGTTTACAAATAAGGATGATTTGATAAAGTATGCATATATGTATATGAATGAAGCTACATGACCATCAATAG